GAACCGTCTGACTTCCCTCCCCACCCAGCTCTTTAGTTTGGGGAGGGGGGGGTCTTCGTCCGCCCCGAGGTTACTAGGATTATTATGGCTGGCGCTGACTGCTCGGAATCTATCGGCGCCTGACTCCGAGGGCTCCCCGGAGCAAGGCGGGCGGCGCGTCTTTCCAAGAATGGGCCGCCCCCTCCTCTTGCGGGCCGGGGGGGGGGCAGGAGGGGCTTCCCGGCTTTGCCTCTCGCGGCGTCAAGGCCAGCCTCGGCTCCTTCCGCCGCAGCCTTAAAAATGTTGTTGTTGTTGTTGTTGTTATGGATCATCGCACAGTCAGCCAGATGTTCAGACTGGATTTGGCCTTTTGTCTACCTATCGAGTCCTTACCCAGGACCTGGGATAGACAGATGTGGATGTTTGATGGTATTACAGGTATCCTCGCAGGGTGGAAGCAGTTCCTAGTAAGGCCGCCTTTTGCAATTGACTAATGGCGCATTTGTCAATGGCAATGGTGTTCAAGTGGTGCTCCAGTTGTTTTGGGATTGCACCCAAGGAGCCTATGACTATTGGTACTACCCTTGCTTGCTTTTGCCACAGTCTTTCTATTTCTATTTGTAGGTCTTTGTATTTTGTTATCTTCTCCAGTTCTTTCTCGTCTATTCTGCTGTCTATTATTATTATCATTATCATTATTATTATTACCCTAAACAGAGGCATAGCATCAAAATCAGGTGCATTATTAGGATATTGGGGTAGCCCAGGTCAGGATCACCTGGAGGCACCCTTTCCTTTCCCTTCCCTTTCCTTTGAGCCCCGGGAGCCGCTGCGCTGCGCTGCGCCTGGCCCTGGCCCGCTCCCTACGCCTTTCCTCCGGGTAGGGCTCCCGGTCTCGGCCGCAGAGCTTTCCAGGCTGCCCTCCGCGGTCCGGAGCCCCCTTCGCCGCCGGGAAGCCCGCAGATCTGGGCCAGGAAGTCAGGAAGACCCGCGGCGAGGAAAGAAAGCCCAGCCCGGCTCTGCCCACCGGCCGATCCAGCGGCCTTTGAAGCCGGAATGAGACAAACTCTCCACGGCCAGTTCGCTGCAGCCAATTTGCCCAGGCCGGCTCGCCCTGGGACAAGTCAACAATTCAATTTAAGTGTTTAAAATACTTTAACAGTCATTTTCATTATTTTGTCATTCCCATTTCATTCTGACCTTCCTTTGGCATCTTCTCTTTAATGATTCTATTCTACTCTATTCTGTTTTCTATTCTATTCTATTCTATACATTCCATATTCTATTCTATTCTATTCTATTCTATATTCCATTCCATTCCATTCCATATATTCCTATTTTATTCTGTTCTGTTCTATTCTATTCTATTCTATTCTATTCTATTCTATTCTATTCTATTCTATTCTATTCTATTCTATTCTATTCTATTCTATTACATTCAATTCCATTCCATTACATTCCATTCTATATATTCCTATTTTATTCTATTCTATTCTATTCCATATTTTCCATTCTATTCTATTCTATTCCATTCCATTCCATTCCATTCTATATATTCCTATTCTATTCTATTCTATTCTATTCTATTCTATTCTATTCCATATTTTCTCTTCTCTTCTCTTCTATTCCATTCCATCCCAATTCCTATCCTATCCTATATCCTATTCTACCCTATTCTATTCCATTCCATTCCATTTTATATATTCCTGTTCTATTCTATTCTATTCTATTCTATTCTATTCTATTCTATTCTATTCTATTCTATTCTATTCTATTCTATTCTATTCCATTCCATTCCATTCCATTCCATTCCATTCTATATATTCCTATTTTATTTTATTTTATTCTATTCCATATTTTCTATTCTATTCTATTCTATTTCTACTCTACTCTACATTCTATTCTATTCTATTCTATTCTATTCTATTCTATTCTATTCTATTCTATTCTATTCTATTCCGTTCCGTTCCATTCTATATATTCCTATTTTATTTTATTTTATTCTATTCCATATTTTCTATTCTATTTTATTCTATCCCATTCCATTCCTTTCTACTCTATTCCATTCCATTCCATTCCATTTTATATATTCCAATTCTATTCTATTCTATTCTATTCTATTCTATTCTATTCCATATTTTCTATTCTATTCCATTCCATTCTTTCTTATTTCTATTCTATTCTATTCTGTTCTGTTTTTCCATCCTGTTCTGTATTTCTATTCCATTCCATTCTAGTTCTTCGATATTAGTGTCACTCTTGTCCCCGTGGCCAGCTGGCCGTGGCAAGTGGGCTGCAGCGAAGGGGCCCTGGCGATTTAGCCTTCTTCAGGGAGCTTCGAGCCATCCAAAGCGGGGTGACTGCGCCCACACCGAGAGGCCCGCGCGCCCCCGGGCCTAGGGGGAAAGGGTCTCTCGCGCGAAAAGCTTGGGACTCTTTCACTACCTTCATCTTCTTTGCAATCCGATAACCGTCGCGTAGATAGAAGACCCATATAATAAATATGCTTTTATTTAGGTAACGTGTTTTTTTTTTCCTCCCCCCATTAAGTTGGGCTGCAAACCGCGAACGTTGCGGGTCAGTTCCACAAACGGCGCAAAGTCTGTGGAAGCGGCCGTTCCAGTGCATCCCCCCTGCGCTTGGTGTGTGTGTCTGTGTGTGTGTGTGTGTGTGTGTGTGTGTGTGTGTGTGTGTGTGTGTGTGTGTTCACAAGGACGGGAAACCAAACCTCTTCCAAGGCACCCCCGCGAGGGATGGCCCCGATCCTCTGGCTGCGCCCGTCCCAGTTCATCCCTCTCCGGCGCGCAGATCGGGAATGTTGCGATACTGCGAGCCACAGAAGCCTCGCCGCTCGCTCCTTCTTCCCCTCGTCCTGCTTTGACGTCGGAGCGGTTCGGTCTTTTTGGGTTGGCGGGGGGGGGGGTTTCCAGAAAAAAAAAACCCCAAAACGCGTCTCTTCCTGGAACCTGTCTCCAAAGTCCAAAATCGCGAACTGCAAGGATGGAGACGCAGGAAAGGAATCGCGAACTGCAAGGATGGAGACGCAGGAAAGGAATATTTACTGCTTTGAGCAGCTTTGCACGAAGCTGAAAACACGAAAGCTGAAAGCACGAAGCTGAAAGCACCAGCCTGAAGATGATGAATGGGACTTCATCATCTTATATATAAAAGGGCAAGGAAGTGGCTGGAGAAAACAGGGGAGCAATGGGGAGGCGGGGGGGGGGAAGAAAAGTCATGGGGCTGGGTGGGAATCAACATCCCGCCTCTTGAGGCCAAGGGACCCAGGCGGCAGGAAGCCTCGGAGGAGTGCGTGTGTGTGTGTGTGTGTGTGTGTGTGTGTGTGTGAGGGGCTCCTTCTGGATCGCATCCCCCTCGCGAGCACTTTGGGGCGGGAAAGGGTGGGGGGGTTTTAACAGTTCCCCAGAGCCAGGTGGGTCTGCCAATAGGGTGAGCCTTTCTCTCTCCCCCCCCCAAAGCTCCCCTCCCCTTCAAAGGAGCTGCTTTCTTTCGCCCGTATCCAACGGAGCGAAAGGCGCGCGTCGAGGGCGCCTCTCCCGCGTCCAGGATTCCCCATTTTTCGGAAGGCCGGGAAACCAAGCGCCTGCGGGGTTCCCCCTTCCCCCGCCTTTTAAAAACCGGGAGTCCCCCTCCAAACACGTTTTAAAAACGGATGCAATCGCCACTTTCAAGCACCACCCAACGCCCCCCACCCCGTTCCCCAGTGCGCGCAGCTTTTAGAATTTCGAGAAATACATTTAGACAAAAAAAAATAAAAATATCTGCCTTTTCAAGCGTGACCAACGATTTGCCATTGTTCCGGGGTTTTGTTTTTTTTTTAAATCGCTGACAATTTTAACCAGAGGCGGCTATTTTGTTCCAAACAGAAACCGATCCCTTAAAAATAATAAAGTGGATTTTTGCGCCCTTTAAAAAAAAAAAAAAAGATTCGGAGCTCTTAGCCATAAGTAAGTTTCTCCGAATTGGTTTCTCCCCCCCCCCCCAACTTTGTCATCAGAATTTCCAGCACGGCTGCCAATATTAGGATTAATCTTTTGGGGGTTTTTTTGTTTTGTTTTATCCATTAGCCCTTAAAAGGCAGAGAAAAGGAATATTTCAAGGAGCAAAGTTTAAACGTGCACAATAGATTCCTTAGACTACCGCAACGAAGCTTTTACTCCACACCGGCTCCACCAGATCCTTGGGAAAAGGATTTCTGGATTCAAGGAGGTCGACATCTAAATTAATCGGGGAACCAATTTTATCTTCATCGAGAATTCAAACGGAATCAAGCTATATAACATGATACAGTATTGGTTGTTGTTTTTTTTTTAAGGATACTCTAGTACAGCATTCTGATCAATTCCGAGGAATCAAAAAGCCTTACCGGGTTCTTAACATATTTTGCGTCATAAATTAACAATTAACTACCGCGCATGCTTTGAGTAGGATGGCCGCTTCCCCAACGGAAGAGAAGCGTGAAGAAACGCCGGTCGTTATTTCCAAATGTTCTTTTTTTAAAAAAAAAAAAAAGACGAGCCGGGGACCTCTTTTTCATCCTGGCTTTGGGAAAGAGTCAGTTCGGCCCTTGGAAAAATAACTCCTTTTTTTCCCCTTCTTTTTTTTTTTTGAGAAGTCTTCGTTCCGCTTTTGTTAAAGGCTCGGCCCCGCTCCTCAGGAGATATATATATATATATATATATATATATATATATATATATATATATATATATATATATATATATATATATATATATATATAGATATATATATATAATATATATGTATAATATATATATATGTAGGTTATTCGGGTTTTCTCCCACGTAAAATTGGAAGTGTCTTGGCGACGTTTCAACGAAGTCTCATTCGTCATCTTCAGGCTGGTGCTTTCGGCTTCGTGCTTCTAGGAGCAAAATACATAAAACATTTGAAATGGAAGAAGGGAAGCACCAGCCTGAAGATGACGAATGAGACTTCGTTGAAACGTCGCCAAGACACTTCCAATTTTACGTGGGAGAAAACCCGAATAACCAAAGACCTACATACAAACACCCATATATGTATATATATGCATGCATGCATGCATACATACATACATACATACATACATACATACATACATACATATATATATATAAGGCTGGGTTTAGAAGCAGAGTCTTCGGAGTGGGAAAGAATTCAAGGCAAATTCCAGTTTTGTTTTTTTTCCTGCTCAGCTCCGCCAAAACCACGGGGGGGGGGCAGAGAGGAAGGGGGGGGAAGAAAAAAGAAAAAAAAAACCCCTCTTCAGCTCCTGACCGCTGGAGACCCTTCCCTGGCACCTGCCTTGCCCGCCGCCTTGGCTCAATCTTCTCCCCCGGCGCTTCTTCCGACGCCGCTGCCGAGACGAGCGGAGCAGCCTTAGACCAAGCCGCTGACCGGCGCCCGCAGGAAGGGCGCTGCGCCGGCGGGGAAGGCGCTCAGCGGATAAGCCACCGGGCCGCCGGCCAGGCCGAGCAGCGGGGGCGGCGGGGGCGGCCCGTGGGGCGAGAGGGGCAAGGCCGCCAGGGCGCTGCCGGCCAGCGAGCTGTCGTGGTACAGGACCGGGACGCGCACGATCCTCCGGCTAGAGGACGGGGGCAGCTGGGCGGCCTCCAGGTCGGCGGCCAGCTGGCGCTTCCACTTGTTGCGCCGGTTCTGGAACCAGATCTTGACCTGCGTCTCGGTCAGGCGCAGCGAGGCGGCCAGGCCGGCCCGCTCCGAGCTGCTCAGGTAGCGCTTCACGTCGAAGGTGGACTCCAGCTGGAAGACCTGGCTGCGGCTGAAGACCGTCCGGGTCTTCTTCTTGCGCCCGCCGGCCCGCGCCTCGCCCGCCTCCGCTGACTCCGGCCGCTGCTTGTCGTCGGCTCGGGGTCCGGAACGCGCCCTGCCGGCCTCCTGGCTCTCCTCGGGGGGCTTGGGCTGGCTGGCCCCCTGTTGCTCGCCGCTGGCCTTCTCCGCGGTGGCTCCGTCGGGAGTCTCCGGAGAGTCTCTGTCGCTGGCTGGGGGGGGGGGGAGGAAGGGGAGAAGAGGAGGAGGAGGAGGGGGAGAAGGAGGGAAGGGGTCAGTCCGAATTGTAGGGACCCCACCCGCCCCCCGACCATCCACACCCGCCTCCCCGGACTCCTGGAGGCCGAGCGGGAAGGACGGGTCGGTCCCCCCCCCCAAGGAGCTGGCCCACCGGGCCGCAGCGCTCCGGTCCTGCAAGGTCCCGGCTTGGATTGGGGGGGTGGGGGCTGCTGAGAAAGCCTCCCGCACCCAGCAGAGCTGGCTCTCCCCCCCCCCCACGCTTCACCCCACTCCCGCGCCGCGCTTCCCGGGAAGGCCTGGAACGCAGGCCGCCTGGCAGAGCGCCAGAGCGCACCGGGCCGGCGGAGAGGCGCACCGGGATGGCCCCTGTCCTTCTGCCCGGTGGGGGCCTCCAGCAGCGCCTCTGGGGGGGGCGAGGGATGGAGACCGGGCCCAGGGGGAGGCGGGGAGGGGGGCAGGCGAGCGCGCAAGGGCGCAGGACTTACATTCCGGGCTGGCGCAGCTCCTGAAAGCCTTGCGCGCCCGCCGGTACCACTCCCGGGCGCTTTGGCGCAGCGGCGCGCTCCTCAGCTCCAGGCGGGTCGCTCCCGGGGGCTGGCAGCAGGCCAGGGGGCAGGGGCGGGGGGGCGCCGGCGTCTCCTGGCCGGGTCCGGCCTCCTCCTCCCCTCCTCCTCCTCCTTCCTCCTCTCCTTCCTCCTCTTCCTCGCCCTCCCGCCGCCGCCTCTTGCTTTGGGCCGCCAGCAGGTTGGCGATGAAGAAGGAGGAGACCCGCGCGGAGGCGGCCTGGACGTTGCCCGAGGCTTGGTCCGGCATCCTGGAGCGCGGAGAGGGGCAGGCGGAGCCGCTGCGCACGGAGGCCGCCGGCTTCAGGATACGGGAGCCCGCCGGAGTGGAGGAGGCGGCGGAGGAGGAGGAGGAGGAGGAAGAGGAGGAGGAGGAAGACGACCCGCTCCGGAGGGTCGCATCGCCGCCGCACGCCAGCCAGCCAGCCAGCCGGCCGGCCTGCTCGACTCGCCGCTTGGCCCGAGGCAGAGGGGCCGGGCAAGAGTGGGGGGCGCCGGGGCTGCCGCGCCCTCCTCCCGCGCCAGCTCCGCCGATTTAGGTCAATTAGGCGGGCAGGCGGGGCGGGAGGGGAGGGGAGGGCGAGAGAGGGGAGGGGAGGGGGCCGGCCTGCGCTTCCCGCTCTCATTGGTCAGTCCGGGGGGAAGGGGAAGGGGACGGGGGGGGTCAGCCAATGCCACCGCCCGTCCTTGGAAGAAAAAAAAAAGAAAGAAAGAAAAAAGGGGAAAAAAGAAGAGAAAAAGGTGTGCCAGCCTCCCCACGCCTCTCCAGCCCCTTCCTCTACTCGATTGCCCACCGACCCCCCCCCCCAAAAAAAACAGCGCCCCGGTTCTGCAAGGGCTTCTGTGCGCGCGCCAGGCAGCGGGGGTGGGGGGCGAAAGCTGCTGCCGGGGGGGGCGTGGAGGAGAGGCGGGCGGGTGGGTGGGTGGGTGGGTGAGTGGGAGGCGCGGAGGCGCCCTTGAGGCCAGGCTGGTCTTTTCCCCCCCCCCTGCATCTTCTTCTCCCGGGCGGGCGCCGGCAGAGGTCCCTGGGGATGGGGGTTGGGGGGGTTGGGGGTTGGGGAAGGAGGTCTCCCCGGTGGGCCCCCCAGCAGGAACGGGGCCCAGCGCGAGTCCCACCCGGGAGGGGGGGAACCCTCGCTCGGCCCGTTCTAGCTCGGGGGTCCCGGGCAATGCCAGAGGGGTCTGCGGGAAGCGAAGCGGCCAGGGGTGTGTGTGGGGGGGAGGGGGGCTCCGCCGTCACAAGGCCCGCAGCTGGTGGGACCCCCGACCCCTTTGGAGGTCTCCCTGCCCCGTGGAAACGCCTCTCCCCCCCCCCCGGCGGCTGGCTGGACTGGGGATGGGGATGGGGTGGGGGCTCCGCGGATCGCCTTGAGCCTTTCGCCGCCTCCCCAAAGTCCTTCGGGGCGCCTCTCCAGCTGGCTTTTCCCAGCCTCGCAAACACCTGGTGGGGAACGAGTGGGGAGCCGTGAGCCCTTCGTGGCCGGGGCTGGACGGCCTGGAGCCCCTCCGGACTGCAGCGCCCTGATCCAGAGCTGGTCCCCGGGATGCCTTCGCTGGGACGGGGGTCCTCCCCGCCTCGGGAGCAACGGCCCCAGCCCCACCTGCGCCTCCAGGTGAGCCTGACAGGACACGGACTGTCCTTGGATGGGCAGGGCTTTCCCATCGTAAGCCTGTGTGTGTGTGTGTGTGTGTGTGTGTGTGTGTGTGTGTATGTATGTGCTGGATCGAGGCCGAGTTTTGAAGGGGGCGAGGCGGGGAAGGGAAGGGGGCGCAGCGCTGGTGAGAAGGAAGACGAGCGAACCGTTATTCAATCAACCACAAGAGAGCCGAAAGGGACCTTGGAGGTCTCCTAGACCACCCCCTTGCTCGATCAGGAGACTCTATACTAGGGGTAGGCAACCTTGGCTCTTTTATGAATTCTGGGAGTTGAAGTCCACCAGTCATAAAAGAGCCAGGGTTGCCTATACCCCTGCCCTAGACCATTTCAATCAATTAGAATAGAGCTGGAAGGGAAATCTGAGGTCATCTAGTCCAGCCCCCTGCTCAAGCAGGAGACCCCATACCATTTCAGACAGCTGCCTGTCCAGTCTCTTCTTAAAAGCCTCCACTGTTAGAGCATTCACAGCTTCTGGTGGCAAGCTGTTCCACTGGTTAATTGTTCTCTCTTTTTAGGAAATTTCTCCTTCGTTCTAGGTTGCTTCTCTCCTTGATTCGTTTCCATCCACCGTTTCTTGTCTTGCCTCCTGGTGCTTTGACCTTATTCGTCATCTTTAATCGTTATTATTCTATGATATGACCTTTTTTGTGTGGCAGCCCCTCAAATACTTGAAGACTGCTATTATGCCCCCCCTTCTTTTCTCAGCTTCTAGGCTGGTGCCTTTAGAAATCTACTATGTAAATGACTGTAAGAGATACACGACACAGCACTGTTTAAAAAAATGTTTAATGTTTTGTAAATTGGAAAAATGAAAAATTAAAAAAAAAAGAAATCTACTTCCTTTTATCAAGCCTTTTATCAAACCGCTTGTTTTCTTCCCGTGTTCTGGAACAGCTCTTGTCCCATCTTGTATATGATACCTGAAGTCAATTATTATGTCTTCACATATTTGGGTCTTCTGCAACATTGCCGAGCTTTTGATTTCCCACACGAACTCTGTTATAAATCAGTGGAAGAACACTCAGCCTCCAGTGAAGTCAGTCAGGATGGCAGTCAACGCTTCCTTCCATCCTATCTTTGTTGGCCAGGATTGTTTGGGTGCTTTGGTGAATAGGTTGACACCCACCCCCTCTTATTTGTGGCACCCCCTCAAATACTGGAATACTGCTATTGTTGTTATTAACTGCGAAGTTGGGACCCCATCCATGGACAACGTTCCTCCAGGCCTTCCTATCCTCTGCCATCTTCTGGAGTCCACTGAAGGTCACGCCTCCTGCTTCAGTGACTCCATCCAGCCACCTCCTTCTCTGTCGTCCCATTCTTCTCTTGCCCTCCATCTTTCCCAGCATCAGGCTCTTCTCCAGTGAGTCCTTGCTTCTCATTAGGTGGCCAAAGTCCTTGAGTTTCAACTTCAGGATCTGGCCTTCCAAAGAGCAGTCGGGGTTGATCTCCCCCGGGACTTGCAGTCCAGGGGACTCGCAGGAGTCTTCTCCAGCACCATAATTCAAAGGCCTCCATTCCTTGGCACTCAGCCTTTCTTATGGTCCAACTTTCACAGCCATACGTTGCAACTGGGAAAACCATGGCCTTGACTAGACGCACTTTTGTTGGCAGGGTGACATCTCTGCTTTTTAGTATGCTATACTGCTATCATGTCCCCCCTAGTCCTTCTTTTCTCTAGACTGGCCATTCCCAAGTCCTGCAACAGTTCTTCACATGTTTTAGTCTCCAGGCCTTTAATTGTCTTCGTGGCTCTTCTCTGAATTTTTCCCAAACTCTCAACATCTTTTTTTTGTGATATGGTGACCAAAATTGGTTGCAGTATTCCAGGTGTGAGTCTCCCTGGGGTTTTATAAAGTGGTACTAATTGTAGAAGAAGTTGTGAACACTCCATCCCTGGAGGTTTTTAACAAGAGACTGGACATTCACTTGTCTGAAATGGTCTAGGCCAGGGTCTCCTGCTTGAGCTGAGAGTTGGACTAGAAGACCTCCAAGGTCCTTCCAGCTCTACCAAGGTCCCTTCCAACTCTATTCTGATTGATTCCGATTGATTGATTGACTGGTTGGTTTATAGATGCTTGGTACCAGCTTGGCAGTTGAAGGGAAGTGTGGTTAGTAGTGTATTTCTGTAGCCTCTGCTAGTTGGGCATTTGTAAAGACAGCACAGTGTGTAACTCAATTCAGACTAGAGCTTCTTAATTCCAGGTTGCTTCTCTCCTTGGCTAGTTTCCATCCGTTGTTTCTTGTCTGGTCGTCTTCCGGTGCTTTGGAAAATAAGTTGACCTCCCCTCCTCTTTGTGGCAGCCCCTCAAATACTAGAATACTGCTATCAGGTTCCCCCCTGGTCCTTACACCTGAACTGGTGTAAGGAAAGCAGCCTAGTTTTAAATACCAGGAAAACCAAAGAGATCATTGTTGATTTCGGAAAAGGCAGGCACAGACATACTTCTCTGTGCATTAATGATTCACTAGTGGAGATGATTACCAGCATCAAATTCCTGGGTGTGCAGCTAACAAATAGGCTGGCTCGTAGCTCAACAGCGAGACACTGGTGAAGCGGGCACAGCAGCGCCTGCATTTTCTGCATCGCATGAGAAAAGCACATCTTCCTTCCCCTGTCCTGACCACTTTCTACAGGGGGACGATCGAGAGCATCCTGTCATACAGCATCACAGTCTGGTTTAGAAGCATCCCTGCTTCAGACAGGAAGGCGGTGCAGAGAGTGGTGAGGACGGCAGAAAAGATTATTGGCAGTTATCTCCCTCCCATCCAGGACATGGCACAGAAGTGCTGCTTGAGCAGGTCCGTAGGATTATCTGGGACACGACACATCCTCTTCACGACCTGTTTTCCTTGTTCCCTTCTGGGAGGAGGGGGCTTCCTGGTATCCTCAGCAGAACATCCAGCTTCAGCCAAGAGTTTCATTCCATACAGCCTTAACCTTGCAAACTCTCAAGCTTCCTCCTTCCGTTCTATATTCAAGATGGACAGTATTTAATATTTATTTGCTACGTATAGGGATGTGGGTCTGTACATATGTTGTTCATAGTATGTTTTAGGTGTGTGTCGTGTATGTGTTTCACTTTGAGGGCGGGCAACTAAATCTCATTTTTGGTGTGTGTGCCGTTGTGCCCACAGTAAAAAAAAAAAAAAAAAAAAAAGCTTATCTTGTCTTATCTTCTTTTCTCTAGACTGGCCATTTCCAAATCCTGCCACGGTTGTTGTTCTTCGTTATGTTTTAGCCCCCCCCCGCCTTTCATCGTCTTCGTTGCTCTTCTGTGCGCTTTTTTTTGGGGGGGGGGGTGTTATTGGTTGACAAGTCTGTCAAAGCCTTAAATCATTTCTCTCTCTCAAGATGTTGCTGTGCTCTCGTTTCTCACCAGGCTTCAGGCCGTCTGGGAAGGTCTCACCCAAAAACACAACCAGTAGTAGCTGTTGTTGTTTTTAATCCCCCTTCCAATTGTTAATTGGAAAGGGCTTGGTAATCCGTCTCCGTGTGGGTCTCCCCCCCCCCTCCGCCAAGCCCAGATTCCAAGGACCCTCTCTTGACAGGAGATTTGGATCCCCCCCCCCCCCAAAAAGGCTTTTAATAAATCTGGTCAGTTCGCAAAAGATGCTACGAGGCTCCTGACTTTTTTTTCCCGCCCCCAAGCGCAGAGTAAGGGGGCTCTCTGCTCAATGGGTGCCTACGGGTATCCCGGGAGTCTTGTGACGACCGGCCGAGAAGAAAAGCAGGAGAAATGGATAAATAGAAATACATTCCGATGTGCTTGGTACTTAGCGCTCTTCTCGATAAGGGAAAAAAGCCTTCATCAACCAGCGTTTTAATTTTCCTGAAAAAGAAACACCGGGATGATCCC